CTATTTCAATTTTTTTTTTTAAAAAAAAATTTATTTTTTGTGCTAAAATATAGAGGAAAAATAATGAGAGATGAGATGAGATTGAGAGGGAAGATGAGAGGGAAAGATGAGGAGGAGAAGTAACAAAAGTGAAAACAAAATTTAAAAACTGAAATCTATTTGAAATTGTTTTCATTTTTATTACTCCTTACTTCCATCATCCCCTCTCATCATTTCTCCCAATTTCATCCTCAATTCCATTCTCCCTCTCATTACTCTAGCACAAAAAATGAAAACTAAAAACTAAAATTGAAATGGTTATCAAACGGGCAATAATATTCTGATCCATAAGAAAACTTTATTGCATTCCTTTTTTACAAGAGCATATATAGATTCATTGCTGCATAAACTTAACTAGACCCTACATATATGTCCGTGGCCTAGCTTCATATCTTAAAATATTCCAGTGCAGGGACCCCGTTCAGCCCTTTCGTGTAGTAATGCGCAACAAAATCTTACACCGTAGTTTCCCGATAAATTGGAGGATTTTCTTCTAATAACAACTCCTTGATTGGTCCATACAGTCTTGAAGAATTTTCCGGTGGAAGATGCTGTCTGAAAAAACATGCCACAGAAATTCTTGGACCTACATTTTTGGCCAAGACTCTGTGATTCACACTTTTGAACTCGTCGTTTGAGATTAGGTGCACCAAAAAAACACATTAGAAATTATCAACGTACATAATAAGAACTCATTAGAATTTGGTTTAATTTGACTTGCCTGCAACATGTCTCCAAGATTAACGACTAGAGCTCCATGAATTGGTTTAACATCCACCCACTGATTTTCATGGAGGACTTGGAGGCCACCAATTTGGTATTGTAGGAGAACTGTGAGGAAGCTACTATCAGAATGTTGACTTGTGCCCATCGTCAATTCTGGTTCAGGACATGCCCAAGTCCTTTAGGTGGTTGGGTTTTAGCCGAAGCAGTTCAGCAACAATTCAAACAAAGTGGCCCCTAAACTCTTTACTTTCTCCGAGTAATTAACCACTATATCCCTGAAAATTGGTCATTTGCTATCGTTAAAAATATCCCAAAGATAGTTGTTTGTAGTGTTTGGTAAGGATGTATGATCTAATTATTGCAACTGAGTTCTCTTATAAATTAAGTTGAAAAATCAGAAAAGAAAAAAAAAAATTATTTCCATACAATCGTATAAACTATAAAGGAATGAGAGTTTCTCATACAAACACTACAAAGTGCTATGGCGATTTGAACATGAAATCATCGGTTTACAAGTAAATTAGAATAATTTAGAATGACTTAACGATCGTTTGTATAAAATACCAACAAAAAAAATGTTAATTTGAAACACAAATAATAAAAAATAGAATTTTAAAAAATTGGCAGCATAGCAGAAGAACAATTTCCTCGCATACATACCTGCAGATTGAAGGTAATTCTTCAAGGTTGGGAGCCTGAGGAGCCAAAACACAAGACAAGGTGTCCCTCCAGTTAGCAGCTGGTGCATGATAAAGATCAAAATTAGTATAGTAAATTGAGCTTAGACCCAAAAAATTCATTTTAAATCACCTACAACCCTTTCCTTCAGTTTTCTATTTAAAATACCCAATTTTTTCAAATAATACCCGATGACTAGGATCCAACTAAGAAAGTTACCTAATATAACTTAAAATATGATTTATTGTATTTTTCAGATTCCAAAACTACCCCTCTTTATAAGTAAATGTGTTATGGGGGGTGTAACTAATGATACCCGTTGAATTTGGAAAGATCTCCAAATAGTTGTAATGGATGTAGGAACTAATTTAGAAACTTATTTGAAATTAAATATTAAATTCCACATTAAAGTATCAGTAATCTATTTTTGAATAAATTGTGTTTTCCTTCTATGAATTACGACTAGTAATCTATTTAAAGTATTAGTAATTTAAATTCAATATTAAATTTAGGAATTAATGTTGTTGTCTTTTATGAATTATACGACAAGTATTCTTTTTTTATTATAGTTTTATGAATAATAGTGAAATTGGTACTTAGGTGACGAGGGGTAAATTTAAAAGATATTCAACCAAGAACGCAGCAAACTTCACACACTCTAGACCTTGACCAAATACTCTTATGACTAGTCAA